TAATACTGGGAAGGAGGAGACTCCCTGGCTAGCCAGCCCAGAGGTGGGTGCTCTCTGAAGAATGGCACCCAGTCTAGTCCTACCTACATATGCATATGCTCCTGAACACATGTTCACCCACGCACATACAAGCATGCACACACACACACACACACACACACACACAAAGAAATAACATACTAGAGGCCTGTAAGTTTGGGGTAATGACATCTGGTATGGCAAATTACTGTGATGAGTTTCTGGGAAACAACAGGAAATCATGAGAGAGCACTACTTTCCAACAGGAAGAACACTGAGCAGTCAGACCACGCCAGCCCTAAGCAGGACTCTTTTTAAAACCCCAGCTAGCTGGGTGGTGGTGGCACACACCTTTAATCCCAGCACTCGAGAGGCAGAGCCAGGCGGATCTCTGTGAGTTTGAGGCCAGCCTGGGCTACAGAGTGAGTTTCAGGATAGGCACCGAAAACTGCACAGAGAAACCCTATTTCAAAAAATCAATCAAACAAACAAACAAACAAACAAAAAACAAAAACCAACCAAACAAACAAACCAACCAAAACAACAGCAGCAACAACAAAAACTCAGCTGCCACAGTCACTGAGGACCAATTACAAATGGGAGCAGGGAGGCCTACTTCTCACTGCCTATGGACCTAGCTCAGTAAGAAGAGCCCTCTGCCACCCCTGCTGTGGGATGCCCCACCCCTGCCCAGCCCTCTGGCCCAGGCAGGTATATTGTTTCGCCTTGGAATCTTTGTGATTCTTAGCTGACATCTCTGCCTTTTCTAATGGAAAAGAAGCTCTAATGGAAGCCCCCTTGCATCATGGATATGATGTAAGACCCAGTCTGAAGCACCTGACATGGACTATATTATTTCATCCCCACTTGCGATGGTTTGAACATTAAATGTGACCCAAAAGCTCCTGGGTTGAAGGTTTGGGTCCGAGTGATCAGATGTAGGGCTTTGGGGAGGCTGCAGTGTCTTGAGGTCTCTGATCTTATCAATTCATCAATCCATTCATAGATTCATAGATTAAGGACTATTTAGAAGTGGGAGGTATGCTCTCAAGGAATATCTTCTCCTTGTCCCCATACCCCCACCTGTCACCATGAAATGAGCAATAGTTTTTTCTGCCAGGTGCTTCTGGCCTTGTCACCAAATTAAAAGCAATCGGGTCATGGATTGAAAGCGTGAGCTCAATAAACCTTTTCTCTCTCAAGTTGATTTCCCTCAGGTATTTTGTCAGAGCAAGGGAAATCTAACACACTGCCCTCCCCTGAATTAGGTATTGTTATTATCCCCATTTCACAGCTGAGCAAAGTGAGGATAAGAGCATTTGCCTCAAAGCTGGAGGTGGAAGCAAAATTTGAAGTCTGGTAGTTTGAGATGCAGATTTTTATTGTCGCTGCCTTCTTCATCACCGTCACCATCAAAAGGAACTTGGGTGTAATTCTGAACATTGCACAATTTGGGATAAGACATCAAGTGTGTTCCCTGGGAATGGAAGGGCCATGGTCATGTCCCAGCTTGGAAGAGGACGGGCACAAATGAAGATCAAGGCCTCAGACCACAAAGCACATCTGTGTCGGTGCCAGCCTTGGCTGTTGGCCTCACACTATCATTTCTGTTCCTTTGGGAAACTGCCCTTGTCCAGGAAGCCTCAGTAGTGGGGGCCACGCGACTCTGAGGGGCCAGCCTGGCCTTTCTGAACTCCCCTCCCTGTTTCAAGGAAATGGGATAAGGGGCTTTTGTGTGTACTATGGTGACACTGAATGCCAAGGCAGTTCTGTAGACAAAAGTAGGGTGCTTGAAGTGATTCCTCTAATGGCAACAGGGGAGGAGAATCCATGTTGCAGGACAGTGTTTAAGATTACCAACTGGCTCCTCTATAGGCATCACCCCTGAAACACCCCCCCCCCGGTAAAGGTAAGTGGCCCCTGGAACAGAAAACCCATCTGTGATCTTTAACCAGCTGTAAAACATTCTCATCTACTTCATTTTCTTTTGAAAGCAGTAAATGAAAACCTGGGTCGCAAGCAGCCTCCCTCCAAAGAGGCTGGGCAGGCTGTCGAGAAACTGGCATGGAGAGGTGTCGATTCCTAGACTGAAATCTGGTTCCTGGGTTTAGAGGAGTTTAATAAGGATATCAAGAAGAGGAAATGCAGATGAGGACACTCCAATGGGCTCTGTGGGGCGTCATAAAGGGTCCATTCATAAAAAGTTATGCACGCATTATGCCTGGATTTTCACACACTGCCCTGGGAAAAAATTTGATGCAGAGCAAGATGTCTACTTTACAATCCGCCCTAATCCGCTCTCCCTCCTGCCAAAGGGGCATTGACCTGCCTCCTCCCAGCAGATTTCATGGCACTGACCCCTCCCAGGGACCAGCTTAGCCAACACAATGCACTTGTTCCAAACACAAAAATTCACTAACGACTGCATTTGGAAACATCAGAGCAGACCAAATAGTTGGCAAAGGAGGTGCCTGCAAATGAAGAATGATGGCTCCAGGCACCCGGCCATGCCTCAGCTGCAACACTGTGCATGTGAGAGAGCACACACACACACACACACACACACACACACACACACACACACACACACAGAGTGTGTGCAATTCAGGGAAAATATAATATGAGCCCTAACCCCATTCCTCCCAAGAAAAATCAACCCAACCCATCACCATCACCAATAAACTGACCAACTGCACAAGTCCTGTTCTGGTATGAAGAGTGTAGCAGAGACACCAGGATCCCCACTGAGAAAATGCCCACTTGCCATTCAAGCAAAGGGTACTCCTGGAAACTGGCCGGTGTCCACTCTCTGGAACGTGCCTTGGCCCTTTCTGGGGGACTTTGGCTCCTTCCTCTCATGGCTTTAGTCTAACCCATTCCTGGGGTTTTAAGGCTGCCAACCTCAGCAAGCAAAACTCCAGGAAGCCTGGTTAACTTTGACTCCCAGACAAACAACACATGGTGTGTTTCTTCTGACAGCTTGGGGGAGGGGGAGGACTGCAAATATTTAGCAGTCACCTGTCCCCAGACTGGGACATTGGCACTCTGGTCTAATTTCAGTCACTGGCTATCCCTGAGGCCTTAGGCACTCAGTGCGTGTTGGGAGCTGGGCTTTCCCCTGTAGTGTAGGATTCAGTGACTTGAAGGCATCTGTCAGGTTGAGGGGGTCTGTGGTTCCTTGTGCTCATGAAGCTCCTCCCACATAGCATTAGTAAAGCATTATTGTAGAAGATCCAAACAGTAGAGAAGTGTACAAAGCACAACATGAAGCTGCCCACCATCCCCGTGCTTCCTTTCTTGGAGGTAACCACCTCACCCCTAATGAACATCCTTTCTGTGTGTTTGGTACCAGACAGAGCACATCCAAGACCAGCAGGACCATTCTCTGACCCAGTCTGTGTGGGTTCTGGTTAAGTTGTTTACCAGAGACGTTGTCCAGGAAATGGTGATGATCAGACAAGTTTAGAAACCCTTGTTCCCAGGAATCCATCCTCACTGGGAGTTGGGAGGCTTGCATGAGTACATAAGTGTGTGCAAGTGCACCTGCACATGTGTGTGGATGTGAATGCAGTTGCATATGTACCCAGGTGCATGTGGGGCCAGAGATCAACGTCAGCTTTCTTCCTCACTCTCTCTCCATCTTATTTTTTGAGACAGGGTCTCTTGCTGAATCCGGACCTCACTGATTCAATTAACCTGGCTGAGTAGTGAGTTCCAAGGATCCACCTATTTCCATTACTGCCCCCTAGTACTGGAGTCACAGACACACACTACAGTGCCTGGCTTCTTATGTGGGTGCTAAGGATCCAAACTCAGGTCCTTAGGCTTATGCAAAGACCACTTTGCTTACCGAGTCTTCTCCCTGCCCTGTGCCATCTTGGCACACCTGACCAATGCTGCTTGTGACCCTTATCTCTGACTGTTACTTCCATGTCTGTTTATTTTAGGCAGAAAACAGAACCCAGTGCAGGCAGACTCTACCCTGTCTTGGGCAGAATACTCCCTTGCCCGTGCCCACATTCCTATGCATACTTCCGGGGGAGGCACTTGGTCTGTGTGTCTGGACTATTAGCTACATGATGGATTTCTCCTAATGATGGCAGGCAGACTGGCTCTTCCCTGGTACCTTGGAGTTTCCGAGGACACAAATCCCCACCTGTTGGTACCCTTGGGAGTTTAAACAAATCCTTCCACTAGATACAGGTGCTTGTGTGCTATCCCCCGATAGCTGACGTTGAGGTTACTCATGCAGAAGGCTACAGGTTCCCTAGAGACTGTCCCTGTCTGGTGTGACTGTCTCATCCCGGTCCCCCAGGATCTCACACAACATCAGGGCCTTCTGTCTCATCACCATCCCCAGCCAGCCACCCTGGCAACAGCTCCTTGCAGCAAAGCCAAAGTGGCTTTTCCACTCAGGAAGGAACGCTGGGGACCAAGTCATCACCAAAGCCTTAGACTTGGCCAGGCCAGCAGGCCATCATACAGAGCACTCCAGCAGTGAGGATCCCCTACTGTCTTTCATCTGGCTCTTTGTTGGCCTATTTCTTTCCACAGCTCCATTATAGCTGGCTTCCTCGGGCCGATGAGTACCAGCGTCGGCTCCCAAGACCCAAGACCACTGATCCTCCAGGCAATATTAATCATCTGGTCATCAAGAGAGATCTATTTTGTGAAAACTTTCAGGAAAAAAAACTATAAAGTGTCTTCTAGTGACCTTTCACTCAAAGGCCCAAACTGCCTTTGGTGGATGAATCCATACTCTTTCCTATTCCACAAAAATAATACCTGCCTATCAGAAAATCGTAAGCTAATAACAGAACAGAAACACTAAAAAATCCTCTACCATTCTGAAATAACCACTATGTGTTACTTACATCTCTAACTTTATTTGAGATTTATTTTGTAAGTTATAAAATGGTTTCTTGTAGTTGGATTCAGTCCACGCAATAGTTTAAATAATTTAGATTTGAACCATTAGGGACAGCAGAGTTGGACTCCTTGTTTTTTCATATTGATCCCATTCTGTTCATCTCTGCCTGTTACAGCAGCTGGTTTTGCAATCCCTGTTACACACATCTGCATGTACACATATATGTTTGAAATTATTCTATTTACTCCATTCTGTAGCATATTTTTTGCAGGTTACAGAGTGCCAGAAAAGTTCTCTGTGTTGATACACACTCACCTCTAACTTTATTTTTTAATGGATGGGAATTTTCGGTTGAAAAGATGTGTCACGATTTACTCAGCTAACCCCTACTGTTGAACATTTAAATTGCCTTTGATTCTCCCCGCTTCAGCGCACCTCCCTGGAGCTAGAGCTTTGCACACTTCCTTAATTAGTTCCCTAGGAGAAATTCCAAGAAGCGGAATTGCTGGGTCACCGGGTGCTGACAGTTTTTAAAAGCCTTTAACATGTGTGGCCAAATGGAGTGCTCCGAGTTGTACAACGACAAGAGCCCTTGAGAGCTTCTTGTGCTGGCTGCCACAATGGAACCTTCCAGATAGTAAGAGCATCCCAGGGAACAGCCCATCTCTTCTCTCTTAAGGCTGTCTGAAGTCTACTCACCCAACAGGGGAGCCTTTCTCCAGTAACCATCCCGAACCTCCACGTAATCGTACCAGCACAGACGGCTCTTAAACAAATCCATGGATGTGAAATTTAGGATGATCTGCAAAGAATTACCATAAAGTAGGATTGAACAACAAAGCCTGAGGAGTTCTGAAGGATGCATCTTACATACCAGTGTTCTCATGTTACCCCTTAGCATACAGAGCCTTCAGACCTCAGTAAGAGTGTCTTCTCAAAACACACACACAGGAAACCTCCTGACATTAAATAATAAACCTTAGGCGGGATGGGGAGTAAACAGAAGGAGATGGGTCCTTTAGTTCTCTCTGGGGAGTCACTTGGGCTTTTGAAGTTGCTAGGTGGTTTACAGAAAGCAAGATGCATTAAAAGATGGGCCAGGGTGAGTTGAGACTCGGGATTTGGAAGGAGGTAAGGGGTCAATGAAGTTCAGAGATACGAAAAGATCTTGTAACATCATCAATCATTCAGAGGGTCTGGGGTTAGCTCAAGTGCACGTGAGCACAGCTGTGATCAACATCCCCTCAGCCATGATCTCCCACTTTTGAAGAGTTGTCTCCAAAAGCCTTCTTGAAGTTAGTCCATCCATCCATCCATCCATCCATCCATCCATCCATCCATCCATCCATCCATCCATCATCCATCCCATTGTTTTTACTGGTTGACCACTTACTGTGTGTTACTGTGTTGCTCTTCTTCAATGTCTCTTCCTAATGGCTACCATTGGGATGATTCCCAGACTACCCAGAACTACAGCTTGATGTTAGTCTTCCACACCTTCTATCTCGGGTTTCTCAAACTGCTCCCAACTCATGCTTAGGGAATCCCTAAAGAAATCCCTATGCCCCCATCTCGTAAGTCGGGCCCTATTTGTTTTCTAGATGCTTCAAGGCAAGCCTCTGTCCCTTCCTCAATGCTCTAGAAGTTCCAGAACCTGCCAGGCCCAAGTTAGTGCCCACTCCTAAGTCCCTGCTCAGATGGCACCACCTGACATTTGATCTGTAGGAGTCCCATTCTCTCTCCCTCTCAGAGGTATCTCTAGTCAGACACATTTGGACCCACATCTCAGCTCTGCCCTCACTGACTCCAGAATCTTGAGGAAGTAGTTGACTTCCTAGAGCTTTTTCCTCATCTGGAAAACAATATGCACACCAGCAGGCTGCGGAGGAGTCTGTGAGAGAAACTGTATACAGGGTGACTAATGCCATGTCTGGTATACAGCAAGTACTCCAAAAACACAGTTTTAAAAGTCAGACCACTCTGAGTATGCTCTTAGTATATCACAGCTGGCACCCCACTGCCCCTCACAGGCTTTCTTTCCATCCTGATCATCAATGAGAGTGCCGACCCCTCCCTAGAGCTAATACCCAGAGTCCAGTGGTCCCCTAGAAAATGAAAAGTGAGTACCAGAAAATAACATGGATGTGTCTACCAGATTCCTAGGGAGTGAGAAACCCAAGCTTAGAATATCTTAAGATTAGGGTGTCCCTGGGTTTCTCTCATGTCTGTATCACCTGGTGATAGGTGATGAGGTTCAGGAATGCTTATGAGCTGGTCCCACAGAACTACATAGTCTTTGCTCTTTTAAGATTACAGTGAGGAAATGTTAGTAAAACTTCCTTGGAAACACATTCATGGTCTGAGAGGGATAACTACTCAGGCTAATTATTTTAAGTATGTTAGTGAACCATAAAGACCATCGGGGAAGAAAAAGGTGATGAGCGAGAAGTGATATGGAATCAATCAACTTTACTAATTACCGGCAGCTCTAGGGAAGGCTGGGTGAGGCAGAAATGGGAATAATTGCAGGAATTTCAACCATGTATATTCTCTGTGCCCCCAGTGGGCACTGATAATTGAGACTCAGTGAAGCTTACATGGTTCAAACATATCACATAGGCCTGCTGTGCAGCAAGTCAACAATGTGGGGATTACCAGGCCTCCTCCTCTTCCTCCTCCTCCTCCTCTTCCTGCCTGTTAATACCTCTAGCAGGCGTGGTCATATCCACACAAAAGGTATAAGTCTCAGGTTCAAGATGACAACCACACCGTGTTTGTGTACGGTAGTGGTGCATGCCTGTAAGTGTGTGAGCACATATATCTGTGCACATGCATACAGAGGGTGGAGGAAGGTGTCCCTTGTCTTCCTCTGTCACCCTTATTCCCTTGGGACAGGATCGGTCACTGATCCAGAAGCTTGCCATTGGGCTGAGCTGGTTTGCTAGCAAGCTCTCGGGGGCTGCCTGTCTCTGTCCCCCAGCGCTCAGGTTACGGGCATGTACAGCCATGCCTCTCTTATTACTGGGTGCTAGAGACTTGAACTCAGGTCCTCAGGCCTGCACAGCAAGCTATCCTACCCACTGTGCAGCCTTCCAAGCCCTGGCATTGCCTTAATACTTCATTGTGAGAGTGCGTGCACACGTGCAAATGTATATGCGTGTGAACTCTGTCTCCTTTGTGTGACATGAACATGGTCCACTGTTCAGGTTTTTAGTCTCTCCATGGTGTGTGTTCACTTCCCAACTCTCCATCAAATTTAGTCACCTTGAGTAAGTCCAATTTTCTGTTGTATGGTAAGTGGGGTATCAGCATCTAGCATGTGGGGTTGATGCAAGGATGTGATTAAGTGACCTACATGGCTTACCGAGGAAAGAATCCAGTCTGTAAAAATTGCTTTCAGTGGATCCTAGCCATGACTCTCTTGTTCTCACATTATACTTGAAGTTATAAACTATGTAGACTGGCTATGGACACCTGGAAAACATCCAGCACATCCCACTATCTCCAGTTACCCAGGTTTCACTCTATCCTCAGACATCCACATATCCATCCCACAAACCCTCATTGTGCCGTGGCTGTGCCATACAAAGTGGGATGCTGGCACTGGTGTGGACAGTCTCTGTCCTCACTGTGCTTAAGGGCTATAAATGCAACAGTACCTCAGTAGTTATGGTACTGAAGCATGCTGTGACAGGTGTGATTCTAGAGGGATTTGGGAACACAGGGACATCCCCTCACCTAGACCCAAGGAAAGAGGGTTGATCTGCTCTGAGACAGCTTGAAGAATATCTAGATTTGTAGAACACACAGTAAAAAGATGAAGATTGGAGAGATGGCTCAGTGCTTAAGAGTGTGTCCTGCTCTGGCAGAGGACCCTGGTTCAGTTCCTACTACCCATGTTGGGTGGTTGATAATTGCCTCTAACTCCAGCTCTAGAGGATCTGAAATCAGGCAATCTGGATCAGCTCCAGCCCTCTTCTGGACTCCATGGACACCCATACACACATGTACACACACACAATCACACACTCAACACACATATACACATAAAACAAATCTTTTAAGAAAAGATAAACTTTAGAGTTCAAATCCCAGTTCTGCATTTTACTATGTGATTGGGCAATTTCCCTTTAGATTCCTTGTCCACAAAATGGACATAAGATCCTGTAGTGGAGCAGAACATATCCATCTTGGACCAAGGAGAAGAGGCCCTGGCCCTGAGCTCAGCTCCAAAGGGCTATTGCATCTTCAGGACTAACGGAATTTGTGAATACACGGCTTGCTAAGCCTCTAACATCTTCTTCCAGGGACCCAGGGCCTTGGCGTTCCCTGAGCCCGCTTATTGGACATGCCATGGCTTCCTTCCTGGATCTGAGAACAGACACAGACCTGGACAGTCCATCCTACCAGAGGGCAGCCATAGAGCAGCTGCTTGAAAGGCTGGAGTGAATGATACTCAGGAACGTGGGTTGGGGCGTCAACACAGGTGGAGGTAGAGGCTGGAGAAGAGAAGCCAACTGTGTTGGCCATGTTGCCTGACACTCCAAGGTGTCAAGAAATTTTATACTGGACACTTGCCCTCTAGAGTCCTAGAACAGTGTGTTAGTCAAGGTGAAGGACAGATTGTGGTGTGGATCTTTAGTACATGCCAGGCCTCCGTTTGTGTGGGTTCAACTGGCTAAGAAGTCATGAAACAATGAATCCAATGTGAGCAGTGGTGCTCCTGGCACTCGGTGGGTGCTCAGAACAGCTGCTATTACTACCAGTACAGATCCTCCTATCTCACCCGACCCAGAGCACCACCCTGTTCATGATGGGGGCCCAACCTACCTTTTAAAAATTGTGTTCACTGTTCATGTGTCTAGCCAGGTATGTGATCAACATGCAAAGGTCTGATCAGGAGAGTTAATGTTCTCACCTACCTTTTCCCCCGGGGTGACAGAGATCCTCCAGACACAGTGGGAATAGGAAGGGTAGCCATTTGGGAAACCAGGTGCCGAAAAGTTTCCTGTTGTGTCCTGTAGAGTCTCCCCACACGCTGTACAAGCAAAACAGCAACTCTGATACAGGCACACATGAGGCTTCTTCCCCCCAACCCCTGAGCTACCCCTGCCCAGGCCTGTGGAGTTACAGGCTTTCCCAAGCCAAAGCCCTGGGAATGACGGATGAAGAGTAAACCGAGTAGATGGTTATTTTTCTGGCCAAGGCAAGCAAAAGTAGATCTTGGTGCCAAGGAGTAGCACCCAGGGCTTCTTCCAAAGGCTCTCAGTACTCAGTATGGCTTAATGTGGGTTCAGATCTCAATTCTCCATGAATTGGACCATGAGCTGGACCAACTCAGGGGGCCAGTGAGATCACTTATATCACATGGAATGGGTCCACTCGGGGCTTGGCACCCAAGAGTGTTCCAGAGATTGTACAACTGATTTATTGATTGATTGATGAGAGAGGCTGAGCCCAGTGCCTTGGGCCATGCTAGACAAGTGAGCTACACATCTCCCAGCCACACTAAAGCCTTCATAATTGCTAATAATAACATCCGTAGCAGGGAGAATACAGAAGTATAAGTCAGTAAAGCCAAAAGAAAACATGATCTGAGACTCATTTATGCCCCCTTTAAATTCTTTTCTTTTTGCCATTTATCTCCGAGAGAACTAGCAAACAAACAAGGAAGCAGAGAGAAGCACAGGGGTAGAGGCAGTTATAGAAGGATGGTCTACAGAGAGCTCTTGGGTCTATTTGTCTTTGAAGGTTGCCCAGTAGTGAATGTGTCTAGAACATAGAACCTGCATGAGAAGAAAATCACTTCCTGTAATTTGTCCTTAAAAGAAATGAAAAGAGAGGGAGTCCTATAGATTGGGAGCAAACAACATTTGTATTTCCTGAAACCTGGGGATTGCCACCCCCCAAATACAAAGGCAGTAGCTTGCTGGGTGACCCCTACCATGGGGCTACCCACGAAGTGCAAGGAGTGAGCAGCATCCTTAAGCATTTTCTCCCACTCTTGATCCCACCTCTGCTTGGCCACTGCCCTGGCTTGCAGTGACCCCTTGGAGCATCCTCTGCTGCTCCTGGAGCGACAGGAAAGGGCATGTGGAGGGCTGCCCATCATCTGCCTCAGGAAATCCTAGCTATCAGGGCCTCCGTGTCACGTTACAGAACAACTGCCGAGCATAGTGAGGCTCACTCCCAGCAGCCAACACCCCTGAGGGTTCCATGGAAATTATTTTGGAATAATCATCTGCATTCTGCAAGAATAGATACATTACTGTGCTCCAGGATATTTACCAGCTGCCGGGAGCCTTTTGGGAAATAAGAAGCATATACAGTGTAACTAAATAAATACTATGGCATTTCCCAGGGAATGATACAAGGTTTCCCTTTACATTCAGAGGGTTATATGATACGTGTGTCCTGGATTTCAGCCCTACCATGCCCCTAGATGACTGAGAGCTGGATGAATACATTTCCTCATTCCATAAGGATGCAGCCTACACAGCATTTTTCAGTCTCCATGGTCCCGCATTGTAGGGCAATGTCACAGTCCTGATTTTCTCCAGTGGCCCCAGTTTCAAATATTCCACCACAAATCAAAACACATCTGGTTTGAAGGATGTGGCAAAGGCTACTGGAGCTGTTGATGATGGAACTTCCTTCTGTCCTCCCTGAGCTCCTAAAGTTCATTCTGCCCCCTCAGGGGCACAAACTTGGCTGTTACAATCAATGTTTTGTATGGATTTAGAAGTGCCTTAGGGCACTGACCCCAGGATGACATGGAATGAAAAGATGCCAAAGCTGGTCAGTTTTAACTGTCCACTTGATACAAAACAGAACACCTGGGAAGAGCATCCTCATGAGGAATTATCTAGATCAGATTGCCCTGTGGGCTTGTTTGTGGGATGTTGTCTTGTTATTTGATGTAGGAAGACCCAGCCCAATGTAGGTGGCACCATTCCCTAGGCAGGGCGTCGCAAGCTATATAAGACAGGAGAAAGCGACATGAGACAGCGTGTAGGATCCATACATTTATTCTCTCTCTGCTCTTAACTGTTACCATTTAAGTTCCAGCCTCAACCTCCCCACAATAATGAATTGTAGCTTGAAACTCTAAGCCAAATAAACTCCTCTCCTGGGTGACTTTTTTGTCAATGTATTTTATCACAGCAACAGAAATGAAATGAGGGTAGATATGAAGGCAAAGAGAGCCAGTCTGAGGGAAAGGGACTGAGGCCCTAGCTCAGGACAAGGCTTTGCTCCACCTAAGATACGCTCTGGTCTTTAATAGCTTATGGCTGGTGACCAACCCTGAGGCAACAGCACCAGAAAGTTGCTCTGACTGTAGCATTTGGGAACCAGACCCTATCATCCCCAAAGTATTTCCCTCACTCTCTGTCTTCCTGCCAGAGACTCTTGATTCTTCCTTTGCCATATTCACATTCCCTGGTTTCCTAGAAAGAAGATGGGCTCTCGGAGCAATGGGTCCCTCTGTAGTACCGCCTTCTACTCCCTCTCTCTCCTCTGCACTCAAGGCTTTGCCAAGGAACTTCAAAAGCCTCCCATAGTCAGGCTATGGGCTCTGAGCCTGCGGTGTGCCTCTCCATTTCAGCATTCTGCACTGTACTGCACACCCCTAACAAAGACACAAGAAACCACAGCTTCCAAATAGTCTTCCCTTCAGTTCCCCACAGCTCTTCCCAGCAAGGGATGGGGTTGCTTGCACACAGCATGCGTTGTGTAGCATGGGATGCTAGGAGTTTCTGGGAATCCCTGTGGCTCACAGTTACCTGGGCATTTGTACAGCTTCCTGGCTTGAGCTATATCTCCCTGACTGAGCCGCACACGTTGGCCAATGGTTGGCCTGACGCCATTGTCGTCTCGACGGGGGAGGATGGTGTCTAAGAAAACTCCTCTACAGGGAGAAAAAAGAGAGAGAGAAAGAAAAGTCAAGGCTGCCAGGCTGTGTGCGAGGAGACTCCCAGTCTTCATTCATTTCTTGGTGACCCATCAACATTCCTGTCCCCATCACTTGCCACCCCCTCCCCCTGCTGTTATGACTGAGTGGTTTCTTTCACTCAGGCTGCCTTAGAGCATTCCACCCCATCGGCTGCCTACTCATTTCCCAATGGGAAGGCAACTGCCGATTTGAAAACTATACCCTAGTCTAGTAGTCTGAAGCCTGCCTTACTCAGTGGAAGTACGGAGCACTTCCACGAAGCCCTCGACAGGCCCTCACCGTGGGGCCATCATGTTGCACAAACCAGGGACCACCATCCAGAGGTCACGGTGTGAGTGGCACCCCCTGGAGTTGTGCACTAGGCAGTACTTTGTTTAGATAAGTCTTGGAGCTGCTTCAGGAAGAGCCTGGGAACTGGTCCGGCAGCTAAATCAAGAGCAATAGGGGTCATCCAAGGATGCCTGGCCGTATAGTCCTATGCCAGGCCTGACTCTGCCATGTAGATTAACTTGAGAAGCCCCTTTCTTTCTTTGAATCTTTCTGAGCCTCAGTTTACTCCTCTGTACAGTAGGAGATTGGCTGGTTGCTTGTGATGGCCCCTCCTAGCCCTAGCACCTTATTCTTACTTGTGTGACTAAGATCTAAAACGTCAGGGGTATTTCTAAAGCACAAGAGGACCCCCAGATGTCTAGCTGAGCCCTGACCTAGTCATACCTCACTGCAGATTCTGAACCCCCTCCTCTGCCTGTAGACCCTCTATCTGGGCCTGTCCTACACATTGTCCCGTCTCCAAGTATCATGTGTTCCTTCCTTAACCAACTTCCTGAAAAGCATTGTCTCCGTTCCTTTCTGATGTTGAGCTTTCATTCACTCTTGACTCCAGTTGGTATCTAAGGAGACCAGTGGCCGATCACATGTCCCTCCAGTGGGGTCCTCTCAGTCTTCGTCTGTCTCTCAATCTGTGGAAGCTGTCAGCAGTGCCTCTTCCCTCACTGTCCTCTCCCGGTCCCCAGGCATTGCTGTGTGAACTGGGAGAGAGCAACCACTTCTACGTCCTGCTTGGATGATGCCCCTGCCTCTGCTCTCTGTGCATGCGACACTACTGAAGAGTTTTAACTACCCACAGAGAATTGTTTCCGTTTCAGAATCATCTAGTAGACCCCCATACCTGGCACCACCTCCCTGAGCTGTACCATGGGCAGAGATCCTACCCTAAATTTGGCTCACGGCTGAATTGATCCCACCCTTTGCTTGTCCCCTGGCCTTTGTCTCTGTAGACTGGATCTGAAAGTGCTCTCAGCTCCTCTCTGTTCCTCACTCTTTCCTTATGAAACCAGTGACCGTGTTCTGTCCAGTGTACCTTGTAGGTATCCCGTTAGCCCAGGCCCTCCTCCTGGCTCCCAGACCACTGTCTGAACCCATGTGATCGGCAGGCACTTCTTTCCGAATGTTCTCCAGAAGCTTCCAGACTGTGTCCCTCTCTGTGGCAGCCTCCTGTGCTCCAGTCCTATAGTGCTGCAAGGTGGCCACCCCAGCAAGCAGGGATAGCTGTGTGCTCAGCAACTCCCCCCACTTGGCTGTCTGGGCCCTTTGCTCGTGACTTCTGACTTCCTCTCCAGCCATGCCGCTTGTTATCTCCTTCTAGGTCCCAAACAAACCCCTGCACACACTGTCCTCTCCCCAGGCTACCCACACCCGCTGTTTTGCCTACTCAGAGACTCCTATTCATTCTCCGGATCCCCATCATCTATCCCTCCCTCTTAAAACCCTTTGGGACCCTTTCTACCCCTCCCATCTGGTGTTGCCATATTCGCTTGATTAGTTTTCTGTCATATCTTTTTTTTTTAATGTGTTGTTGATATTTTCTCCTCTGCCAAAAGTAAGTTTCTCAAGACTGGATTTCTCCTTTCTGTCCTTACAGATTGAGGGAGGATTAAAAAAAAAAAAGCCACAAGCCCCACCTACATCTTTAATTAAATTATGCAGCCACAATCAGGAACTATTTTCAAAGAATTTCACAAAATAGTTATTTACATCCATAAGAATCAGCTAAAATGTACACAGCCTAGCTATTAGATGTTCTCTGTGTGTGTGTGTGTGTGTGTGTGTGTGTGTGTGTGTGTGTATCTCTGTCTCTCTCTCCAGCTCTGTCTCTCTCTCTCCAGCTCTATGTTCTCTCAAATCCGCCGCCACACTGGATAATACACATCTTCATTTCTCTCTGCTTACATCACCTTGTTATCTTTTTGGCTGTGAAATGCTTGTTTTTCTCAGTCACACTCCCAGCACACTTTCTCTCCAGTGAGCAAAAGAGAATCCAGATCATCTGCAGAGGTCCTTTGCGGCCTGGTATGCCCAACAGTTAACCCTCCGCCCTGACTTTCTCTGAGTCTCGTGTCCTCATCTTCCAGAGTCCCCCCAAGACACTTCAGTGACACCCCTCTTCTCCCCTCCTCACACCAGGTTTGAAATCCTAAATCATGACTCCTAAGACAACTGAAATTCTGAATCCAGTTACCTGATACTTGACAGAGAGACACTTCTGCCCTAACAAAGGACATGGTACCCTGTGACAGCTCCCCTAAAGCAGGAAGTTTGCAGCAAGACCCAAATATCCGCATGTTGTATAAGGAACAGCCTGGGCTTAGCCGACGACCGGCAAAGCCACCAGTAGGCCTGGCATGTTTAGACCATGTTCTCTCCTCCACTATCCTTAGGGCCTCCCTATGTGCCAGACCCCTCCTGTCATTTCATCTTCACAAGACCCAGGGAGCCAGGTCTACGGTTGCTAGGCTCCCTGAATGACTCAGTGCGCGGACAGAGCTAGAAGAGGAGAGCCAGCCCCAGGACCTAGGCAGGCCTGAACCCTTCTGCCAGCCATCTTCATCTTTCTGTCTAGTGTGTCCCTCTGCTCAGGGAACAATAGGCTTCTGTGCACAGTGAGTGGTGGCTTGAGACAAAAGCAGCAGGTTGGACACCGGCACACACCAGTCTTTGGAGCTAAGTCATCAATGCAGTTCCCCGAGTTACTGACAGGCCACTGGATTCCGGAGACCATCCACTCCCAGAGCCACCCTGTATGGAGCGCTGCAGTAATGCTCCTTTGCCCTTTCTGGGTGGACAGTGCCCAGCATTGACTTCAGGCTAAACTGGCAAGGGTTGACAGATGCCTTAGGGGATAAAATTGTCAGCTCTGAGTTTTCCAAACAAAGACATCCCTGTGATAGAACTGTCTCCTCGCTTCCTGGACCTGTGCCCAGCAAAACTTCTAAGGACACCACTCCCCACCGCCTGGGTCCAACCAAGGGGAAAAGGAGAAGAAAGGCAATAAAACCAGAGGGGACAGAGCTGGAAGGAGACAGCTCAGGTTGTAAAGAGACCAGAGACTGTGTTTCCCATCAGCAGGAAGGGCTTTATCCCACAGGCTTGCGTTCTGCAGGCGATTCAGTGTTCTTTCACGAGCTAAAAGGCAAGGTACAGAGCGGCCCCAGGGGAGAAACAACCAAGAGAAACAAGTTGCAGTTAGGAAGTGGAGAAGCCTTTGACAAAACGCCAAAAAAAAAAAAAAAAAGCCCGCCAGGGAAGAGCCCATGGTACAAAACAGCTTTCTAAAACTCCATACAGAAAACCATCACAAATGCAATGCAGGCATCCACCTGCAGCATAACGTGTTTGTGGGGTGGGGGGAATTCCAAGTTCTGGGGCCAGAGTTGATAAGAGGGCTGGGGTAGATGGTTAAAATAACGTACCTCACCTCTTAATGGTGACATCCCTTTGGAAGGCAGAGTTGCTGTTTCTCCCCTTAAGAGGCAGAGTGTACTTCTTCACTTCACCTGATTCTGGCCTTCTGGGTTGCTCTGACCGATGGGATGTGAGAGAGGTGATGCCATGCAGGTTCAGAGCCTGGCCTTTTAGAGGCTGGCAGCTACCCAGGCTGCCTTCCAACGGCCCCGAGTCCTCAAGCAGAGAAGGGCCTGGCCAAATCTACTGAAGGGTGAGGGGTCATGGGAAGGGGGACCATGGGCTATGGCCAGTTGGTAGTGAGTGTTAAGTGTGTGACTGGCCATCTTTGACTCCCCAGCCTGATCAAGCTGAGTGTGAGTGGCCCTGGGCAAGACCACAGAAGAATGAGCTGGACAGACCCACAGTTAAAAAACAAAAGAAAACAAACAAACAAAAAAAAACCCAGTAAGATGTGGTTTAAAAGCCTAAGTTTGGCAGGGAAATTATGCAGCAATAGGTATTGTAGCAGTAACAGAAGTCTGCCTCGGGGAAGCCGCTCAGCGCCAGCTGCCCATCATGTCCCGGTACTGTTCCTTGCCAATCTCCCTCCTAGGTGCTTCGGATGAGGTGTGATTATTTCATGGGTTTGGCCCAAAGATTTCCTCTGGTCTGTGCTGATAAGATGGCTCACGCTGACTTTGGAGTTAGAAAAGGTTCCCTCCAGAGGGGCAGAAGCGGTGGGATTATGAGCTAGAGATCACAGGGGGGAAAAGATATTTAGGAAAAAAGAAAGTTAGGAAAAACAGGATGAGCCTCTGCTTGGCCTCTGGCTCCAGAACGTAGTGCAGTGGGTGGCAAAGAGCCAGTGAGAGGAAGGTGGCTTTGTTCCTACAGCTCTACATGCCCTGCATAGGAGAGACCTAGTCTCCCTCCTGGAGAGGAGCAACCACCACATTTGTGAGCATGTGCAAAGACTTAGAAAGAACAACAGACAGGATTTTCCTCACCCATTCCTCTGGGATGTGGCTTTCTGGGCCTCTTTGACCTCACACAGTCACTTATAAACTTAACAAAAATCTATTGGATATTTAGTATGTGTCGGCACTCTACTGGATGGTACACACTGGATGAGAACGAGACAGTGCTGTGCCCAAGGATCTCAGTCTACCAAGGGAGAAGGAATGTGGCAGATGAACAGAGAGATGGCTCAACTGTCAAAGGTCAGTGTGGTGGTTTGAAAGAAATTGGACCCCAAAGGGACTGGCACTATTAGGAGGTGTGGCCTTGTTGGGGTAGGTGTGGTCTTGTTAAAAGAAATGTGTCGCTATGGAGGTGGACTTTGAGGTCTCATATGTGCTCAAACCACAACCAGTGGGACAGATCACTTCCTGTTGCTTGAAAGTCAAGATGTAGGACTCTCAGCTACTTCTCCAGCACCATGTTGCCTGCACGCCACCATGTCATACCATGATGATAATGGACTAAACCTCGAAACTGTAAGCCAACCCAGTTAAACTTTTTCCTTCATAAGAGTTCCCATGGTCATGGTGTCTCTTCACAGCAATAGAAACTCTAACTAAGATAGCGAGGCACACAACCAAAAATTATAAAGTGATATAAAGAGTTATGGAAGCTACCAAAATAAGACCCAAGACACAAGCTTCTCAGTTGGGCCAATGTGATGTGTCCTTGACAACACTGATACTTTCTCTACCTACTATCCCATAAGCCCCTGGTTAAGGGGTGGCACTAGGTCATTCCCTGAATGTTTTCCAAGCTAGGTCTCAGCCCAGTCCCAGCACCTGCATTCTCACCCACCTCTCTGATCTAGGGTTAGGCTTTCCTCCTGCCCACTCCACAGGCTTGTTGGGACTTGCTCCCTCTTCTAGCTGTCTTCAACTATCAACTTGACATAGACTAGAGTCATCTGAGAGAATTGTCTAAATCAAATTGGTTGGTGGGCATGCCTGTAAGGACTGTGTTGATTGTTAATTGATGTACGTGGACACAGTCCACTGTGGGTGGCACTATTCCCTGGGAAGGTAACCCTGGGCTGTTATAAGAAAGCTAGCTAGGGAGTTGGAGAGATGGCTCAGTAGTTCAGAGAACTTGCTGGTCTTTCAGAAGACCGAGATTCGGTTCCCAGTACCTACATGGTAGCAACATCAGTCTATAATTCTAGTTTTAGGGGATCCAATGCCCTCTCTGGCCTCTGAGGGTACCAAGAATGGGTGTGGTACACTTAGATACATGCAGGCAAATCATGCATATGTATGAAATAAAAGTACATAAAT